CCCCAAAACCCCAAAACCCCAAAACCCCAAAACCCCAAAACCCCTCTTAAAGCTCTGATAATTGAAACTAATAGTGATGAACAACCACAAACAAGTAATCGCAAGAATACAAAAGGACTATGAAGAGGGGTACTCAAAGATTCTCAACCCCAACAGAGTATGCTTTCATTATACCAAAAAGGAACTCTTAGAGTTTTTAAACTGTGCCAAAGACCTCTCTAAACAGGTCTTAAAAGATATCGATGAGATTACCTTAAGGCAAGACTCCTTAGCTGTCAAATACAAAGCCAGAGTGAACCAGATTTGTCAGTCCCTTCTCAGATTCAGTCAAAAAGTTGAGATCCTTGCTGTGAGAGTTGGATCCAATCATGAAACATTTGAAAAATATTTGGTGGATAACCATATTAATGACTCTGAAGAGAATCCTGACAAGCAGAAGCTATTTGAGCATCTTGAGAGACAAGAAGATCAAGAGACTAATGGGAGCACGATGGATGACAATCATTCAATACGGTCTTCCATATACTCCGATCTCAGAATCCTTCAAACAGATCAAGAACAGAATGAAACTTGAGAAAATATTGCTAGTGCGTCAGCACAAATTACCATCGAAAAATGCTTTCTCAGTCCAAAAAGTTTCGGGAACATTCTTGCCTCTATCAAGAATATTGGACTTCACTCCACTGCTCAGGCAACAGAGGTAGCATTAAAAGTGCTTCTAAAAGTCGATGAATGCTTAAAGGAGATCCTTCATCACCCAACAGAAAGTGAATACTGCGAAATGCTTTTTCGGTGCTCCTTTCTGAGGAATTATGAAGACACTCTTCATGAAATTGTAAAATAATTCAGACGAAGATGTATTCTATCACAAGTACGTCATTTACCATCACCCCTATAGCTACGAAGAGGAGCTGAAAAAGCTCAGAGATGTGAGAGAAGACTCTAAGCGCACTAACATCCAAAAGTTCCTCAAGATTTTAACCATTATCTACCCAAAGTGTAAGGATAATTTTATGAACAGATATGGGTGGTTCAGGCTTCTTGGAGAATTTGGTATAGCCATTGGAAGCAAAACCCTTAAGATAGCCAATGCAATTGTCAAGTTTTTCAAACTTATTTGGTACTGTATTCTATACTTCTTGTCAAGAAAGAAAAGGAGAGCCCAATATCAGTCATTCATTTCCTCGAATAATTATGGTACTTTCTGGAAGCTAGCCAAGAATGAAGGAGGCCTTCTTCCCAGAATTTTCTTTTATCTTGCCAGTCCATCCATCAAAATGCACCAAGAGATCTACATCCCGAGATGCTTTGAAAGACTAGACTCTGAAGGTTTGAACCAAAGTATGAATGTGTTTGTCAAAGGGCTTGGCTTAAAGAAAAAGCATAGGCTTCTTGATAGAAAAACACACCATTCCTTCTTAATGCATCATAAATCTAGACTAGAAGTCACTTTAACTAATTTCAGCCTAAAGGAGAAAAGAAATCACTTCAAGATAGGTAAGCTAGATTAACAAAATTATAGAAATTGTATCTCCCTTTGAAGTTGATCTTGATCCAGACCAAGCTGAAGACTTTAAGGAACCTCAGGAATGTGAGGCAATCTTGATCCATATTCATGGAGGAGGATTCGTCTCAAAGCCTTCTTCTCAGACCCAGGTTTATCTCAGAGAATGGGCAAACGAGTTCAAAATGCCAGTCTTTATGCTGAGTTATTCATTAGCTCCTGAAGCAAAATATCCTCAAGCCATAGATGAGTTATACCAACAGTATAGATGGATTACTGAAAATATCGAAGATTCCTTTGGACTCAAACCCAAAAAGATATTTGTCATGGGCGACTCAGCTGGCGGTAAACTTGCTACTAGCCTCACAGCTCTGAGTATATGCAAACAAATAAGGATTCCAGACGGACTATTGCTTTTCTATCCAGTGTTACTTCTTAGATATATCTCATATACTCCCTCAAGAGCTCATATGTTCGATGATGAGATTATGAGCCAAATGGTCAGAGAATCAGTATTCGAAGCTTATTGAAAGCAAGTTGATGCTGATAATAACCCTTTCTTATCTCCAGTCTTACTCCCTAAGAAAGTTTTAGAGAATTTCCCTGCTACCAGAATCAACCTAGCTGGATTAGACCCCTTGCATGATGATGGATATAAACTTGGCTACCAGCTAGCGTGCCTCGGAAGAGACGTAAAAGTAAGAGACTACAGATTCCTACCTCACGGATACCTAAACTTTACTCATGTACCTATGCTAAAACAAGAGTCCAATGAAGCTATCAAAGATGTTTCAGATACGTTCAGAGAACTACTTATCAAGCCTTAACTTTAACAGTAAATCCAAGTTTAGCAAATTTTCAAAATTTCCCTTGAAACCCGGGGTTTTGGGGTTTTGGGGTTTTGGGG